CCCTCCGTCCCGCCGGCGGGACCCCCCCCAGTCCTGGTGTCCCGGGGTCCCCGGGGGGGACAGTCCGTGTCTCTGTCTCACCCCGTCCCGTCCCGCTCAGATGAACCGGCCGGCGCAGGCGGCAGCGGCCGCACACACATTCTTCGTGGCCAACCCCGGGCACCAGGAGATGAGGCAGAACCTGGAGTACTACCAAGCCATGGCGGGCGTCCGCGAGGACGACTTCACCGACCTGGAGGCCAAACCCCACCTGGTGAGACCCCCCACATCCCCAGTCACTCCCTAAACGCCCCTCCGCTGCTGGACCTGGAGGGGTGACTCCATAGCTGTTGGCTCGGCAAGCTCCTGAGATGCCACCTTGGTGCTGGAGATCCGTCTCCATCCCGTGGGGAGACAAGACACCCCAGATGCTCGGTTATAGGGAACCTTCTCATCATTTCTCATCCCCCCGCAGAGCGAGTTCCGGCTCGGTGTCCGGTTTTACTCGGAGGAGCAGCCGGCTGCCGCCGTCCTCCACCTGGAGAAGGCGCTGGAGGAGTATTTTGTGGCGGACGCCGAGTGCCGTGCGCTCTGCGAGGGACCCTACGACTACGAGGGCTACAACTACCTGGAGTACAACGCAGACCTTTTCCAGGCCATCACAGGTGGGAGCTGCCTGTGCTGTGTCCTGTCTCAAGAGCTAGGGACGATCCTGGGGGGTGTCGGGTCCCAAAGAAGTCCCCAAAGACTTGGGGGGTGGTGGGTCCCCAAAGAGGGCAAAGCCCATCCTAGGTTTTGCTAGAAGTGTGGCTAGTAAGTGGCAGGAGGTGTTTGCCTGTGCTCAGCACTGGGGGTGATGCCCAGGGATCCCCCAAATTCCAGAGGGATGTGGAGAAACAGGAGAGGGACCAGCAGAGGGGCACCAGGACGCAAGGGTGGGAGAGTATGGGTGGCCACTCTGTCTCTAGAGAGTGGCACAGCCACCACCACCAGTCATGCAGGGGTGGGCAACTACCATCCTTGAGGGTCTCCGCCACCAAAAAGCTGTCAACAGCCCTGCTGCCAGCAGGAGGTTGGAGTGGAGACCCCTCAGGGTCCTTTCCACCACCCCTTGGGTGACGGTGTGTGGTGACACGGGGCTTTTCTCCCCCCAGATCACTACATGCAGGTGCTGAGCTGCAAACAGGGCTGTGTCACGGAGTTGGCCTCGCAGCCTGGCCGGGACAAGCCCTTGGAGGATTTCCTGCCCTCGCACTTCAACTACCTGCAGTTTGCCTACTACAACAGTAAGTACCTCAGTCCCTGTCCTCCCTTGGCCATCAACGCTGGACGTCGTCCTCCTCACGGGTAGAAATCATAGACTCACAGAACGGTTTGGGTGGGGAAGGGACCTTCAAAGATCAGCTACTCCAACCCACCACGCAGGGACATCTTGCACAAGGTCAGGTCGCTCAAAGCCAACTTGAGCCAACAGTTGAGCCAACTGCTCAACTTGACCTTGAATGCTTCCAGTGATGGAGCATCCACAACTTCTTTAGGCAACCTGTTCCAGTGTCTCATCTTGAAAAATTTACTCCTATGGACAACCTAAACCTACCCTCTTCCAGTTTAAAACTGCTGCCTCTTGTTCTGTCACTACAAGCCCTGGTAAAAGGTTGTCTCCATCTTTCTGATAAGCCCCTTTATGTGTGGAAAGGCTGCAAGAAGGTCTCCCTGGACCCTTCTTGTCTCCAGGCTCAACAACCCCAACTCTCTCAGCCTTTCTTCGTAGAGGTGTTCCAACCCTCTGACTGTTTTTGTGGACTCCTCTGAACCCACTCTAAGAGGTCCGTGTTCCTCTTGTGCTGTGGACCTCAGAGCTGGCCACAGTTCTCCATGTGGGATCCTACGAGAGGAAGGAGAATCACCTCCCTCAACCTGCTGGCCACACTTCTTGCAACGCAGCCCAGGATACTCTTGGCTTTGTGAGCTGTGAGCACACGTTGCTGGCTCATGTCCACTTTTTCATCCACCAGTGTCTCCAAGTCCTTCTCTGCAGGGCCACTCTAAACCCACCCATTCCCCAGCCTTTACTGATACTGGTGGAGGAGGTTCCACCTGACTGTCTTCATGAGGTCCCACTCCTCCAGCCTGAAATGTGACACAGCAGAGCTGGTTCTTGCTGTGCCTGGTTCCAAGATGTCACTTTAGATGCTCAGTTCCTGGGCAGCTTCACTATCCAAGTGAAATAACAGCCTAGAGAAGCTTTTTTTTTTCTCCAGCCAGTTGTCCATCTCCTGCTCCAAACCACAACCTCCCTTCCAGAGCAGTTAGTTATAACCCAGGCAAATATACACAATATTATTTTATATTTATTCACGTCCTTAGAAAAATCTAAACTGTTTCTGTGCAAATTTCTCCAAAAGGAGGGAAAGAAAAAAAAAAAGTCCAAGAGGACTGAAGGGCTGGAATGCTGTAGAGGAAGGTGGGTCAGGGTGCTGTGGTGGCTGAAAATTGTAGGTTCTCCTGGAAATGGTTGGGTGTTGCTGTCTCCAAATAGGCTTCAAGATGTTTTCCAAGTGAGAAAACTGCCCAAGTGGTGACCCTGATTTCTGGCAAGATGATTCCTGGGGGCAGGAGAGTCCCTTGGACTCTAAATTTTGCCTTTGTGGCACAAGCAATCTTTGCTCCGGGGTGTCTGCCCTTCTTGGGAGACCCTTTGGAGAACAGCGAGGACTTTCTCCCTTGTTTCTCCTCTGTATCAGTGTTTGCTCTGTCTCTGCTCTTGGATGTGCTGTTACCAGCCCCGGGTCTCTTTGCAGATGGGAATTACGAAAAAGCCATTGAATGTGCCAAAACCTATTTGCTCTTCTTCCCGAACGACGAGGTGATGAACCAGAATTTGGCCTATTACACGGCCGTCCTGGGGGAGAACCTGGCAGGACCCATCCAACCCCGAGAGGTGAGCGACCTGCTGGGATGAGCCGTGGCAGGAATGTCTTCTCCCCTCCTTGGGGGGACCTTTGCAGGGGTTTTGGGGTCTGCTCTGGATGGATCTGCTCTGGTCCAGCTACCCTTTGGTGGCAAGGTGGAGAGGAACGGATGGATACAAGACCAAACAAGCTGGAAACAGCCGAGAGACTGACAAACATCACTGGTGTCTTTGGCCCAGTGAAGGCTTGGTGGCTTGCACAAATGGACCAGCTCTTGCAGGTGAGGTCTGCAAGAGGCAGATGGACAGACTTCTTAGGAGGATCTGAGCCCACAACTGAAATGGAATTGCTTTAAAAGGAGAGAATTTGGCTTCAAACTAGCTGGGTCTGGATGCTCAGGTGGTACCTGGGAGGCAGGGATGGGGGGTCTCTACCCCACATCAGCCAGAGCAGGGAAGGGAATCTGCTTTGAAAGAGCTTCCTGCAGGAGGGACGTGCGTGTGCCTCAATCTCCCCTGTCCTCTCCCCAGGGCTCGATCACACAGGACAGGAAAGTTCCTGCAGGATGGGGAAAGCCACTTGCTTCCCGGCTGCCAGAGGGACTGGGAAACCAGGGCTGTGGGGCTGGAGCAAGGACCGCAGGAACGATGTAAACCCTGCACCCTCCTGCCCTCACTCGGGGTCTATCCAAAGGCCTCGTGCTGTGTCCTCACCCTGTCCCTCTGCCCCACAGGAGATCCAGGCATACCGCCAGCGAAGCCTGATGGAGAAGGAGCTGCTCTTCTTCAGCTACGACATCTTTGGCATCCCCTTCGTGGACCCGGTGAGTGGTGCTGGCCCAGGCTGGACACAGTGGCCAGATGGAAAGGGCATGAGGGATCTGCATCCCAGCCAGATCCTCATCCTGATGATGTTGTTCTTCTGGCTGCAGGACACATGGACACCCGAAGAGGTGATACCAAAAAGATTGCGGGAGAAACAAAAGTAAGTGCTCTCCCAAGCTGATGGCCAAGCCTACCCAACGGTGGGACCAATGGGACATACCCCTCTTCCTCCATGGGGTTTGGGCCAAAGGCCATGGCCATGGAGATGCTGCCCAGGAGGGCTTTTGGTGTTGAGGCTGGAAGAGGCTGCTGGAGGGCAGAACTTTGCTCCCCAGCGGCTTTTGGGGTGATGGGGATGGGTAGGTCAGCCTGAGCACCTCGGGGTGAGGGCTGCATTGAGACAACTCTCCAGCCTTGGGCTTTGTCACTGGCCCCTGGAGACAACTTCTCCTGCCCTTGTCCTGGTGCCCCTCGTTCCTGACGTGGGGTCAGTGGGGTGGTGGAGCTGATGGCTGCCGTGTGCCCAGGGTGGAGCGGGAGACAGCGGCACGCATCTCGGAGGAGATCGGCAACCTCATGAAGGAGATCGAGACGTTGGTGGAGGAGAAGGCCAAGGAGTCTGCTGATATGAGCAAATTCATCCGAGAAGGTGCGGAGGGCTGGGAGGGGAGGTGGGGTGTGGACCTCCATGTCCCCTCTACCAGCTCATGGTCCCTCCACATGGGTGGTGGGAGGAGCAGTGGCAGGACCACAGCTTCCCCCAGGGTTGTACCCCAGGGTTGGTGGCACCCATCCTTGTGTCCTCCTGAGCCCCTTTGTGCCACAGGTGGCCCCTTGGTGTACGAAGGAGCCAGTGTCACCATGAACTCTAAGGCGCTGAACGGCTCCCAGCGTGTGGTGGTGGATGGGGTCCTTTCTGCCGAGGAGTGCCGGGACCTGCAGAGACTCACCAACGTGAGGAGGGGATGGGAGGAGAGGGTGGGGATGGGGCAGGTCCCATCCTGCGGCCCAGAAGTCACACTGGTGACCCCAATTGGGTTTTGCAGGCAGCTGCCTCGGCTGGGGACGGCTATCGTGGGAAGACATCTCCTCACACCCCCAGTGAGACCTTCTACGGCGTGACCGTCCTCAAGGCCCTCAAGGTTGGGCTGGCTGTGGGGAGGGGGGAGGAACAAGCTGTGGAGAGCAGGGATGGGGGGGTTGAAGGTGGGCGGCTGCCCGTGCTTGCCCAACCTGCCTAGGGCTGAACCCCTGTCCCGTCCATCCCCCGCAGCTGGGCCAGGAGGGCAAGGTGCCCCTGCAGAGCGCCTACCTCTACTACAACGTGACAGAGAAGGTGAGGCACATGATGGAGTCCTACTTCCGCCTGGAGGTCCCGCTCCACTTCTCCTACTCCCACCTGGTGTGCCGCACCGCCATCGATGGTGAGCATGGCCTCAGGGGAGCACAGCCCGAGGAGAAGCAAGTCTCCTTTGGTCCCTTGTCCTGTCTGGGTGGTCCTCTCCAACAGCTGGGGTGGGCTGGTCTTGGATCTTTCCTTGGAGACCTTCTTGGTGCTCCCTGACCTGCTCCTTTTCCCAAAAAGAAGGAGTGGGGAGCTTGTCCCTAAGCCCGGTTTGGGAAGATGAGCAGCAGAGGCTGTGTCTGGAGGGCCATGGAGATGCCATGGGACAAGTCATTGGAGGCTTGTGCCACCCAAATGGCCTCTTGTGGTCCATGGTCCAGCAAGTGGAAGGGCTTTAGGCTACAGTAGACTTTCTCGTCACCTCCAAGTGCATGGTGCCTGGGGACAGACCCCAGCATGGACAAGGGAGTCCTGATGTGCCAGGTCTTTTTCCACCCTAGAGAAGCAAGAAGGCCGGAGTGACAACAGCCATGAGGTGCATGTGGACAACTGCATCCTCAATGCCGAGGCTCTGGTGTGTGTGAAGGAACCTCCAGCCTACACCTTCCGGGATTACAGGTACTGGTGGTGTCTGTCAGCCCGAGCTTCCCCACCTGAGGGCACCATGGCTTGGTGGCACCTGGGTCGGGAGGAGCAGGGTGGGAGGACAATCCAGGCTGGGCTCTCCTGCTGGCTCTTGCCATTGGTGTTGAGGGAGCTCCCAGTTGCTGGAGCTGTGGCCTGGGGTGATGGCTGTCACCTCCGTTTCTCCCCTGCTTCCTTTAGTGCCATCCTCTACCTCAACGGGGACTTTGAAGGAGGAGCTTTCTACTTCACTGAGCTGGATGCCAAGACCGAGACCGTGAGTAGCTCAACTCCTTGAGGATCCATGTGCAGCATCAAACCCAGCTCCTGCCTGGCCCCATCCCCTGTGCCACCCTGAGGGACGAGCTGAGGGTTGGGGGGCACCAGCTCACCCCCTCGCCCACCGAGTGCGTCCTGAGCGGGGTCTCCCATCCATGGCAGGCGGAGGTCCAGCCGCAGTGTGGTCGTGCCGTGGGCTTCTCCTCGGGCTCGGAGAACCCCCACGGGGTGAAAGCCGTGACCAAGGGCCAGCGCTGCGCCATCGCCCTCTGGTTCACCCTGGACCCTCGGCACAGCGAGCGGGTGAGCTCCCTCCCCTGCAGCGGGTGGGGTGTTTTGGGGGGGGGACAACGGCCGTGCTTATCGCCGTGGGTCTGCCCCACAGGAGCGTGTGCAGGCGGATGATCTGGTGAGGATGCTGTTTGGCACGGAGGAGGGGGAATTGCTGCGGGAGTCGGAGTCGGAACCACCAGCCACCGTCGCGGTGGGGAAGGACGAGCTGTGATGTCCCACGGGGACCAGGACGTCCCTGCTGGGACCCAGTGACCACCAGCATTGTGGGGCTGCTGGATGGGACCCCCCCCTCTGCCCCCCACTGACGTGGGATGGGGAACTGAGGGATGCCCTGCGCAGCACCCACACCCCCCTGCGGAGCTGACCGGGGGGTGTCACAGAGTCTCTGGGGGGGTGACACGGGGGACAAGGGAGGGATGGTGTGTTAGGGGTGAGGACCCCGGGCCACCGTAGCAGACACGTGCCTTTCAGCTCGGCTGAACTTGCAGCTATTTAAGTGCCTTCTGCAGAAAACAGGTCAATAAAGGTGGGTTTTTTCTAAGCTGTTTCTTGCTGAGTGGGGGGCTGGAGGCTGCCGCCTCCCCCCATGGCTTTTGTCTGGTGTTGGGAGACATCTGACCCCAGGAAGGCATTTTTTGGGGGGACAAGGGGGATTTTGGGGGCAGGGAGGTCCCGTGGGCACAGGAGGGTTTCTGGCAGGGGCGATGCAACTCCCGCCTCGGCTCCGGAGCATCCCCTGGACCCCGCTCCTGCGGCGTGGGAAGGGACCACAATTTTGGGGAGGAGGGAACCGTCCTTGAACAAGAAGGACATTGAGCACCGTGCTGAGACCCAAACAGGGCATCGAATTGTTCTTGTGAGTGTCTGGCCCCCACCATTTCCATAACCATCTGGGGAATGTGAGTAAATAAATCCTGCCCCACGCACCGCCGGAGCCGGGCACCCCCATAATATTTGGAGAGGGCGTGAGGCTGGTCCCCATCAGCATCGGGGTGGGAGAAGTGGGGGGGTCCCGGGGGATGGTTTCTCTGGGAGGAATGGATGGTCCCACCGGTGGTTGCCCACCATCCCAGCCTCCAACCCCCGCCGGCCCCGCGCGTGAGCAGACTGCTGATGAGGCCGGGGCGGTTAACGATTGCCAGGTCCCGGGGCTGACACTTTCTCAGTGTCACCGGGGCGGTGGCACGCGTCCCCTCCCACACACCCCGTGTCCCCCTCCTCGGGGGGGGACGCCACCGTCAATGGTGGTTCTTGTTGGTGGTGTCCCTGGATTGCCCCACAGGGAGGGCGAGGGTCAGGCCTGGCCATGTGGGGGGCACGACCCCCTTCCCTGCGCCCACACCGAATTCCTGGGGGCACCCCCAGGGGCGATGTGGCCGGAGGGGGGGGGGTGGGTCCTGGCCCCCTGCAGGGGTGCAGGGGGTCACAGACTGGGTGGGGGCTCACCTCCCCCAAAGACCCCCATTTTTTCCCATCTCCCTCCACTGTCACTTGGGGGGATCCCCATCTCCCCCAAGACCCAAATACCCCTCATGGCCCAAATCTCCCCCCACCAAGACCCAAATCCCCCTCCTTCCCCCACTGACCCAAGTCTCTCCATCAAATCCTAAATCTATCCCCAAGACCCGAATCTTCCCCCCTCCAGGTCCTG